AATAGTTTACCAAAAAACTATTACGATGCGAAGAGGTTAGTTTCAAAGTTGGGATTAGAGGCTAAAAGGATCGATTGTTGTGTTAATGGTTGTATGCTTTTTTATGACAATGATTACTGGAAAAGATGATGGATCTTTGCTGCAATGCAAATTTTGTCACAAGCCAAGGTATCATGCCCCAAAAGTTGAAACTCGTAAAAATAAACCAATTCCGATTAAGAGCATGTTCTATTTACCTATAATTCCGAGGTTAAAGAGGTTGTATGCATCCATGAAAACGGCTGGACAAATGACATGGCACTATGATAATAAAAGACCGGAAGGTGTGTTGTGTCATCCATCCGATGGTAAAGCTTGGAAGCATTTTGATCAAGCTTATCCAGATTTTGCTGCTGAACCACGCAATATAAGACTAGGTCTATGTTCGATGGATTTAATCCATATATTGAAGCATCTCGCCACGCCCTATTCTTGTTGGCCAGTAATTATGACCCCATATAATCTTCCTCCCGAAATATGTATGTCCAAACCTTATATGTTTTTGACATGCCTCATTCCCGGTCCACGTAATCCAAAGTCATGTATTGATGTGTATTTACAACCTTTGATTGATGATCCGATGCAATTGTGGAGAGGAGTTGAAACATATGATATTTCAAGGAAACAAAATTTTGTAATGAGGGCTAGTTTGATGTGGACTATTAATGATTTTCCCGCATATGGTATGTTGTCGGGTTGGAGGACTCAAGGTAAACTAGCCTCGCCCGCATTGCATGGGGGATACAAAGGCTTTTACATTGCAGAATGGGAGGAAAAATAGTTGGTTTGATTCACACCGTAGGTTCTTGCCCAAAAATCATGTATTTAGAAGGAATAAAAAAGCTTTTAAAAAGGGAAAAATTGAAACTAATGACCCACCATGTACATTGACATCCGAGCAAGTTTGGAGTATAATTATGGATGTACCCAAAGTCATAGATTACCCTCATATGAACAAGTTACCAGTGCTATGGGGAATGGCATAATTGGACAAAAAGAAGTATCTTTTGGGATTTGCCGTATTGGAAGAATAATTTATTGAGGCACAATCTTGATGTTATGCACATAGAGAAAAATTTCTTTGATAATATATTGAACACTCGTCATGAATGTCAAAGGTAAGACAAAAGATAATGATAAGGCAAGGAAGGACCTAGCTTTGTATTGTTGTAGACCAGATTTAGAGTTGAAGTTGCGTGCTAATGGGAAGATGGTTAAGCCAAAAGCAAATTATACTTTAACTCGCAGAGGAAGCAAAGTTAGTTTGTCATTGGATCAGAGAACTTAGAATGCCCGATGGTTATTCATCCAATTTAGCAAGATGTGCCGATGTAGACAAGGGAAGGATGCATGGGATGAAGAGCCATGATTGTCATGTTTTTATGGAGTGTTTACTCCCTATTGCATTTAGTTCATTACCGAGTGCATGCTTGGAACCCTCTTATCGAAGTGAGCCATTTTTTTAAAGATTTGTGTTCTACAACATTGAGGCATCATGACTTGGCTAAAATGGAAGAAAATATTCCAATAATTCTTTGTAAGTTGGAGAGAATATTTCCCCTGCATTCTTTGATTCAATGGAACACTTACCTATTCATCTTGTGTATGAAGCCAAACTTGGTGGACCAGTTCAATATAGATGGATGTATCCATTTGAAAGGTAAGAAGACTATCATTGATTATGCACAAAATTTGATTTACGAAATATTGAGCTAATATCATCCTCATTTCATTCATATTATAGATTCATGGGTGATTCTAAACGATCAGTAAAAAATAAAGCTCGTGTTGAAGGATCAATTTGTGCCTCATACTTGCATCGAGAGACAACTCACTTTTGTTCCCATTATTTCAAGAACTTCATTCTATCACCACAGAATAAGAGAAATGAAATACAAGCCGAAATTGAAAGGGATCCATCAATGTTATCTATCTTTAACTTGGTTGGTCGTCACTCAGGAAAGACATCAATTCATTGGTTAACTCAAAAAGAGTGGAACTCGGCTCATGTTCATGTCTTGATCAACTGCACCGAAATTAAGTCATACCTTGAGTGAGTATTTCAAACACTATATTTCATTATTATATCATTTTCTTTTTTAATTAAATCGTTCTCCATCCTTCTCCTATATTTTCATAGTTCCTTCTTGCAATCTGGTCAACCCAATGACTCAAACATGTCCAATGACATACATAGACATTTTCCTCAATGGTTTAAGCATCAAGTATGTATGGTTACATTAATAACTTAGTTTATTAAAATATGCTTAACAACATATGACTATACCTTCTTTACATTTGTAGGTTCATAGTGAGCCTTTAAGTATAAGAAACAGGCACTTAAGGGAGTTGTCGATTGGTCCTTTCACATGTGTCAATAAATGGCACACATACTTTGTCAATGGATACAAATTCCACACTCATGCTTGGACTCGGGGAAAAAAACAATCAATAGTGGTGTACATGTAAAAGGTCTTACAGAAGGAGGTGAAGATGATTTTTATGGCATCATTCAACACATATATGAGCTGCAATATAATACTTCAACCTCCCCGAAGAAAGTGGTGGTATTTTATTGTGAATGGTTTGATCCATCACGTAGAGGTACATTAGTGGATTCTAAATATGGAACTGTAGACATTCGCATGGATAGAAGGTATTTACCATTTGATCCTTTTATCTTGGCACATAATGTTAGACAAGTATATTATATCCCATATCCGAGATCAAGAAAGGACAAACAAGGGTGGTATGTTGCTATAAAAACGAAGCCTAGAGGTCGCATAGAATCTCAAGACATGGAAGATGATGTTCCTTACCAAATGGATGAAATGTCCCATGTAAATGAAGCTATTGAAGTTGAAGGTGTTTTTGGATTGCAACATTCACAAGTTGATGTTGAAGTAGTCCAGGAAGAAGAAGAAGAAGAAGAAGAAGAAGAAGAAGAAGAAGAAGAAGAAGAAGAAGAAGAAGACGAGGAAGAGGAAGAGGAAGAGGAAGAGGAAGAGGAAGAGGAAGAGGAAGATGAAGATGAAGAGGAAGAGGAAGAGGAAGAAGATGAAGATGAAGATGAATAGGATTTGTGTAGTTGAGAAATTGTTCTTTATGAGTTAATTTTTATATTCTACATGATGTGGTTGAGAAAATGTTTATTATGTAGTTGAAAAAATGTTTTCTTTGAGTTAATTTTTCTATTTCATATTATGTATGACGTTACTCCATTGCATAATTGACTATATAAATTTCCTATGTATAGATATGTCATCGGGAGGATGTACATATATTGATTTCAATGTGTTTCATATGTACATATCTCTGTCACGCAATGGATCTGTCTGCATCTGGATATATATCCGTAGCAAATTTATGTATGAGTCGTGCATATCTCGTCCGTACTGGATCCGTGAATATTTGTCTCGGAATTGTGATGAATAGGCAGTGTCTACTCGAAGAAAGGTAGCATCTCTAAAGAAAATGCAAATATTTTAAAAAAAATAACACTTTCTACGTCGGTTAATGACAAACCCGACGTCGAAAGTTTAACATTTTATGTCGGTTATAAGCATAACCGACATTGATAACACATACAATCACGAGTACTGTTAACCGATATAGATACTCGGTGTTATGGAAAGTTAGAAAGTAAGACTTTCTATGTCGGTTATCAATTTTAACCGACATAGAAAGTATTATGACCCATCGTAACCAGTTATGACCCATCGTAATTGCTCATACAAAGTAGGACTTTCTACGTCGGTTCCTCGAATAACCGACGTAGAAAGTCATCCTATGACCGATCGAACAAGTTATGACCGATCAGAATTGCTCATACAAAGTAGGACTTTCTACGTCGGTTCCCGTAATAACCGACGTAGAAAGTCATCCTATGACCGATCGTAACCAGCTTGGCCGATCATAGTAAGGCTTTCTACGTCGGTTCCCCGAATAACCGACGTAGAAAGCCTTACTTTCTATGACCCCGCATCCGCGCCTCACTCAAGCTCCCTAACTCCTTCCTTCGTCTCCCTCAATTTCACTAACCTCCTCTATAACCCGCCACCCACCTCCTTCACCGGAACCCTAGCCGCAGCCTCCCCACTCTCGAGCACCCCACTTCGTCGTCCCCTTCGTCGAGCCACCGCAAGGCCAAGTCGCAGTCGCGGCCTCACCCTAATCCAACCTCCACCAAAGCCCCTCGTCATCCACGACAACCACCACCATCGAGCGTCCCAACCCCCACTCCTCACCTCGACGCCGGCTGCGGTCACCGCCTCTCCTCGCTCCAGCCCCACCCCCATTGTGCCACCGAGCTCGCCGTGAGCTAGAGGTGAGATATAGAGGCAGCGAATTAAGCCCGGTATTATGCTTTAATCCTATTTCTTTCACATTTTTTGGAGTCTCGAACTGTTCCGCTTAGTTAACTATTAAGCCCGGTCTGGTTTATTTGCATATGAATCATTGAATTGGTGGCTCTGTTAGTTGAATAAGATCTTGGTTTATTAAGGTTTTTTGTACCGTTATTTCGTTTAGTTTGGCTTGAATCTGTGGTTTTCACTTGATGAGGTTGAGACTCGGTGTTATCCAAGTCCTATTGGCTTGGTTCATGTCTCTGTGGCTTAGTTTCTTGGTGGGTGAGTTAAGAATGTGTTTCCACCTTACAAATGCTTCATAATCATGACCCCAAAAAACTTACATTATGGCCATATAAAAAACTTACAAATCCATTTACTCCATTGCATAATTGACTATATAAATTTCCTATGTATAGATATGTCATCGGGAGGATGTGACTCACCCCAACCTCCCATGCCTCATTCCAATAAGGGGAAAAAAGTAACGAAACGAAAAAACCACGCTATATACTTAAAGTAAATGTCTCTCCCCCACCCGTAGCTCCCGCACCTATACCTTCTTCACTGCGAGTGCCGAGAATATACATGCCCATACAAACAATATTGCACCTACAGCCACTTCTGCCCCATCCCCGTTGATGCACCCAACCCTAGTCCATCACCTGTCATTGCATCGACACCTTCCCCAGGAGCTACATTGCCTTCGATATCATCGGTACCATCACCACTACCTTTGGTCTCACCTACATTACCCTCAAGGTCTCCAAGCACTATCACCATTATCGGTGCCTTCTAGAGTCCGTCATACACCAGCTGGGGAAGACCAAGAAGTGCATATTCAGCAAGGTGATGCACAATCGGACATTGACGAGGATCATCCACTTGGCACTAATCTTCCTATCATATCACCTTATGGTCTAGGGTAAGAATGAAGTTAAAATTATATCATTCCCATTATTTGCAAGTATTAGGAAATTGTGATTATTATTTAATTTAATTATTTGGAGAAGGTTCCATCCATGTCGGGTTGCATCACAAGCTATAACAATGACTATTAAGCAACAATATTCTAAGCCATGGCCGACATGGGGTTCAATGACCGATGTTGAAAAAGAGACATTCTTTCAACGATTTAAAGTAAGTTTTCTTATATTTAGGTTGATGAATTATTTTTATTACTTACATTCATTGACACAATTATTATTATTTGTTTTTTTGTGTAAATCATTTGCAAAGAGAAAGGTCACCTGGAGACCTGAAGATGAGGATAGGATTCGAAAGAATTTTCACTCAAAGGCCTCACATAGGCTATCCGAAATGTTCAAAGATGCTAGAAGGACAGGTCAAAAGCCCTATTGGATGTTTGATGATGTGTGGAAAACTCGTTGAACAAGTGGAACTCAATTGATTATCGTGCAAAGTGTGCACAAGCTCGAAGAATCGATCTTCCGAGACGGGTGGTAGTTTACACACAGGTGGTTCTATTAGTATGCATGAACACGCCATTCGTATGGTAAATATGAAATTATAACAAAAGTTTCTTTCTTTCATTTCTTCATGATATGTTATTAATTAATTTGTTTTCCAGGAAAAGGAGTTGGGTCGTCCCGCACATATTGATGAGGTGTTCAAACAGACTCATATACGAAAGGTTAATGGTGAATTTGTTGATGAAAGGTCTAGAAAAACTCATGTGAGTTGTGAACTTATTTAATATTACTCTATTACTCTCTTATATGTTATGATGGATATGTGTTGTATATCGTACATAATTTTTATTTGTATGTGAATAGGAAGAATTTCGGAGAAGATACTCGAGGCTAGATCCGAGGCAGCATCCCGTGCTGCTGAAACCGAGTCATCTTCATTAGATCCTATAGAGGAGGAGAGAATAAGGACTCGAAAGTTGGATTCTTGCTGCATCTAGCAACAAAAAGGGTCGGATCTACGGTGTTGGAGAACTTGCCCATAAGTTTAGGCCCGGAGATACCCTCTCATATTCAAGCATGTACTCGATTCTCGTGAGATTACACAATTAAAGAAACAAGTGCTTAGTTATAGGGAGGATAATGAAAGATTGAACCACCAATTACAAACACTTGTCGGTGTTGTCCTTCCTTTACTTCCACCCGATGCCCGACAAGCATTTCAACAACAACATTCCCAACAAGGATCACAACAACAATCACAACAACAATCACAACAGAGAGCGAGCAAGTGCAGGAAGAGCAACGAACAACAATCACAAAATGAACCAGCTTTCGTAGAGCAGACCTCAAGATGAACAAGGACATTACTATAATTATTAGGACACTCAAACAATATTGTCATAATATTTATTATAGTACTTCTTTGGATTTGTATGTTCTTAGATATTTGAAGGACTACTTGATGCATGCTAATATTAGGATTTGTGTTTGATATCTCGAATATGCATTTGGTGCATATAAATATTATGGAATATTGTTAAATTTGATATCTAAATATTTTGTGTAATATGCATGCTAATATTAGGATTTGTGTTTGATATCTGAATATGCATTTGGTGCATATAAATATTATGGAATATTGTTAAATTTGATATCTAAATATTTTATGTGTAATATGCATGTAACAGGTAAAATTTAGTTAAATTGGTGGTGATAAAATTTTATAAATTTACTTAGTGATTTTCCTACGGATTTACCTACGGATTTTGAATGAGGTAATACCTACGGATTGCAATCCGTAGGTAATTACCTACGGATTCTGTTCGTGGGTATTTACCTACGGATTGCAATCCGTAGGTAATTACCCACGGACGACATTACCTACGGATAGTAATTCCGTAGGTAATTACCTACGACCATATTACCTACGGATTTTCTACGGAAAAAAATCCGTAGGTAAAATGCCATTACCTACGGATTTTTGCCGTAGGTAATAGACTTTTTTTTTGTAGTGTAAATATAATTAGATAAAAATAGTTATTTAGTTGTTTGTCTCATAAAAGTTGTAAATCTATATTTTTTAATATTATTATATGTATTTTGGATGTTTAGGTATCAATCACTCATCTAACAAATGAAAATGTCGGTTGTCTACATATTTAAAAGTTGAAGTTAAGAAGTTACATATAAAAACCTTATATATAAACATCCAACCAATCACTTCTTTTAATAATAAATATAAAAATATAAATTTTTACTATTATGAAATTAATAAAAAGGTTGTGGTTAAGTATTTTGGATAATTAATGTTGTGAATCTAGGATTTGTATTAGAAGTTATTTAAACCACCTCAATTAGGGCATATCCAATTCAAATTTCCATGATGTCATTCTTGTATATGCAGCCATAATATCATCATTCTTCTGCTCCCTGTACTTCTTTCATCGTACAAGATGTTGCAAACACCCTCTCTTGAGGGATTACCCCATCATTGGCATGTTATACCACCAGTGTTCTTCAACCTGTGGAGGATCCATGATTTTGTCACTGAGACGTTGTTAAAAAATATGGTGGCTCTGGGGAGTTCAAAGGGCCATGGTTCACCAATATGAACTATTTGGTCACTTGTGACTCCCTTAACGTGCAACACATGTTGTGCAAGCGTTTCGACAACTACATCAAGGGACCACAGTTTCGTGAGATTTTCGAACCCTTTGGAGATGGGGTTGTCACTGCTATTCAGAAACGTGGAAGTACTTCAGAATCATTCTCCATTCTTTGATCAAATAAAAAAGGTTTGAATCGTTTGTAGACCAAACCGTTCAGAAGAAGGTGCATACAAGTTTGCTTCCGATTTTGGATCATGCGCAACAACAAGGAAGAGTGGTGGATCTTCAGGATATCTTCAATCGGTTCACATTCGATAACATGCACCACAATTGTAGGACATGACCCTAAGTGTCTTTCCATTGACTTTCCAGAAGTTGCAATCGAAAAGGCTTTTAATAAATCTGAAGAGTGCATATTCTACAGACACGTAGTGCCAAAAACTGTTTGGAAGTTCCAAAAATGACTCCAAATTGGTCAAGAGAAGAAGATGACAAAAGCATGCAGAACGTTTGATGAGTACATATATTCATGCATAGCGTCCAAGCGAGAAGAGTTACGCAAGTGCACCAGAGAAGAAATGGATGAAGCTCCATTTGACTTGCTAACTGCTTTGATCATAGAAGAGAGAGGACGCGTGCACGATGATAAGTTTCAAAGAGATGCTGCGTTTAACTTCTTTGTACCAGGGAGAGAAACCATGACTTCAGCTCTTCACTACTACAAATAAAGCTTTCAACGTCGGCTCTAATAAACCGACGTTGAAAGTATGATTTTTTAAATTAATAATTTTTATTTATTTACAACCCCTTTTCTATTAGGTCCTCCATCTTTTTATATTATATTCGAACCCAAGTACTTTAGAGTTGGAGGTCGATACTCCAACCACTAAACTACTTGAATTTTTTGATAATAACTTACAAATAAATTATATTTATATACAAATAAATATATATCCGTGTAAATATCACTACTAGAAAAATGTCAAATAGTAATCGAAATCGATGATCGAAAAAGTTAGTTACTATATTAGTGACTCGAATCAATAACCAAATTATTATTTTTTAATTTAGTAACTCGAAATAGTAATTAAATTTTCGGTCACAATAAATCAGCTTACTATTTCAGCCAATTTATTATTTAATTTACTTTTTTATTATTTAATTTAATTTTTTAATTTTTTTAATTATTCTAATTAGTATCTAATTTTCACTCCCTCTCTGTTACCCTCCCAACTTTCATCTTCTTCGCACCGATAATCCTCCAAAATTTGGTGTTCTTCATGCTGTGAAACCCAACGCAAACCCAGCGGAGCTCGAACCCTAACGCATACCCTAGTGACGTCGAACTCTAACCTCGAGCCAACCCCCACTTTAATTCGGTCGCAATTAGCGATTGATTGATTACTCAAGGATGTGTAAAAGATGATATATTCAATGTATGTTAAAAAAGTTCAAGCCAAACTGTTTTTATAGAAGATTTTCAAAACTGCTGGTTTAATTAATCTGTTAAAAGATTCTTTTAATCTGTTAAAAGTGCAGTTTTAATTTGTTAAAACTTCTTTTAATCCATTAATACGTTCTTGATTCTTTAACAGATTTGTTTTAACTGATACGTAGGACAACGTTTATATCAATTAAAAAACTTTACAAAAAATCTTCTAAGTTGATTTAATCGATTGTTTCACGATTCAATCGATTGAAATACTGCAAAACTTTCTCGTAAAACTTTTCAAGTAATTTTAACTGATAAAAATAAGTTTTAATCGATTAAAACGCTGTGCAGAAATTGTTTTAATCGATTGAAACGAGATTTAATCGATTAAAATAGTTCTGATCGGCCATAACTGCATTATGATCGATCATAATTGAAACAATATAATAGCGGTTCCAGGTTAACCGCTATCTAAGTGAGCTTTTAAGAGCGGTTCCTGTGTAACCGCTATCTAAAATGTATCTCGCTTGAGCGACACCCTTCTCGCTCGAGCGAAACGCCCCCTGCACAAAATTAGCATTCTCGGGTTGTATTTCGCTTGAGCGACACTGCTCTCGCTCGAGCGAAATAAGATTCTGATCGATCATAACTTGAAATGATCGATCATAATTGAGAGGATATAATAGCGGTTCCCTTATAACCGCTATCTAAAGTGTATATTAGATAGCGGTTCCCTTATAACCGCTATCTAAAGTGTATATTAGATAGCGGTTCCCTTATAACCGCTATCAATAAGTAAAAAATAAAAATAAAAAAAAAAGACTTTCAACGTCGGTTCATAGGGGAACCGACGTAGAAAGTACTTTCTACGTCGGTTCACTAAGAACCGACGTAGAATGTGTTTAATATTCAATTTCAACGTCGGTTCATCTGAGAACCGACGTGGAAAGTACTTTACGTCGTCTCAGCTATAACCGACGTTAAATAACGACGTAGAATAAGTATATTTTGTAGTAGTGCTTACCTGGTTCTTTTGGCTTATTGCTCATCACCCTCTAGTGGAAGCCAAGATTCTTGCAGAGATCAAAGATAATTTGAAGTTAAATGAAAAGAAAAATTATTACATGGTCCATGATGAACATGATGTTGACCGAAACGACCATCATTGTCTTGATGAGGATTATGACCTCAACCATTCTCTAACCGAGAGTGTTTTGAGCATGGAGGAAGTGAAAAAGCTAGTTTATCTGCATGGTGCTTTGTGTGAAGTTCTGAGACTTTTTCCTCCTGTACCTATTGAACGCAAGCAAGCAATTGAAGCTGACACGCTTCCAAGTGGCCATAGAGTTAACGCCAATACAATGATAATGTTTTCCTTGTATGCAATGGGGAGGAGTGAAGAGATATGGGGAAAAGATTACTTGGAGTTCAAGCCTGAGAGATGGATATCCGAGAGAGGAGAAATTGCCTATATGCACCAGCTTACAAATTCATTGCTTTTAATGCAGGACCAAGAATCTGTTTGGGAAAAGACTTGGCCTTTGTTCAAATGAAGATGGTGGTTGCTTCTATTTTGTGCAAGTACCGTTTCCAAGTTGTGGAAGATCATGTTGCCACTCCAGGCCATTCGATCATCCTTCTCATGAAGAATGGTTTGAAGGCTAGGATACTGAAAAGACAAGTTTGATTCAAGAAGTCTCAATATGACATGGTTAAAGTTCCTATATGTGATATAAGCATACATAATTTTCATTATATGTGTGTTTAGCAATGAATTTAATGATGTTCAATTAATACAATACATTTGCTGGGGTTGGAAAATGTTTAAGAAGGTAATTTTTTCTTCTGAGACTTTAAACCGTTAGTCGTAAGAAGAACAATTAAATGCCTTAGGGTAAGTAATTGGCCTTCCACCAACAAAAAATATATTTTTCTTCAATTCCTTTTGTAAACACATTATCACTCCAAATCGTTCACCAACTCCAATCAATGCCCTCATGGTGGTTCCACATAATATAGAGAGTTAGTGAACTAAATTATACAATTCACATCATCTACCAATTAAGACATGAATAAAGTTCAATTCAATTTAAGCATTATAACCCATTTTTGAGTTTTTCAAGCCTCACAACTTTCTCATTAGTCATCATAGTTTGCTTACTCTTATTTGGCAATCTCAAAGGGTGTTTTCCACATCTTTTATCTCATGGTGAAGAAATGAACAAGACTCAACAAGTTACTCTCCCTCCAAAATTTTTTAAGTGTTTTTCTTTAACTTTAATACAGTGTGATTTATTTTAATATTTTCGACTACTTTTTCCTTAGCTTTGATTTAGATTATCTTGTATTTTTTCATGTGACTTTTAAAATGATTAATATAAAAACAACAAATTTATCGTACCAACGTTATTAGATCACAACATAAAAAAAATATGATATATGTCATTTTAATATTTTTTATTGATTTAAAAGTATTTTTAAGTTAATTATTTTTTTATAAATTATATATTTAACATATTTTCGTTAAAAATATATTATAATTCAATTTTTTTATATTTATTGTATTTTATATAGTTTTAGCATAAAAAAATATAATATATATGCATTTATCCATATCACTTTTTTTTTATTTTGTAAGAGAAAAATAATTTGAGATGAGCGAAATTAATGGAAATAAAGACCCAAATTGGTGTAGTTGAACTTCACTCTTCTTAAAAGTTCAAATTTGCTTGTGCAGATCCACTTACGAAATATTACAAATAAAATTTTTGAAGTAAATTAACTACTACGAGAATCCAATTTAGCTTAATTAAATATAAGTAGAAATGAAGAATTAAGTGCAAATTAATGTTAGATCACTCAAAATAGGAAAAATATATATTATTTTCTCTAAATTAGTCTTGAAAAGTTCTATTTACTGTAATCCAATTTTGCAATTGTTAATTTGAGAAACATTTAATTTTATTGTAATTAATTTCAGGCTTAATTTCTCTTGTTCAATCTCCTATAAATATAGGTCCGATGACAACATAATTACAATCTCTTACTCCGGGGTGAGCTGTTGTTTAGTCTCATATCCATTTTCTTTTCTATTCTCAGTTTTTAGTTAGATTTATTTATCTATTATTATTGCACTCCTCGTATATTCTCTTTTATTTAATTTATAATTTCTATTAAAATTTTTAATTTATATTATTTTATTTACTTTATTCATTCAATGTTTATTTTAATTTATGCTATTTAATTGTTTAAATTTTTTATTTTATTCCATTATTGCTTAATTTTCTTTTTAATGAATCTTGTTTCCAATTCCAATTCTTAATTTAATTTTAGAGTTATTATTTTTAGAAATTTTAAATTTAATTATTGCATTATTTTATTTTAAAGCAATTTTTTTATTTTACACATTTAATTAAAAATATTTTATTTTAATTTTATAAATTTCAATATTTAAATTATTTTTCAATTTAATTTTAATTATTGTTAATATTCTACTATAATTTGATTTTAATTTTTATTATTCTTCCTCAATTTATTTTATTTTATTTTTACTCTTTCATCAACCTCATTTACTATCATTTACTATGATATGTGATTTTTTATAGTTGTGTTATTGTGAGATTTGACATATTTAATATATATTGCATTAATTTAATAATTTATTTATTATTTTTTTTATCAATATCTTGTGCGAGGAAAATGTTGTGTTCATACACTCTCCTTCTTTTATATATATATATATATATATATATATATATATATATATATATATATTATAATTAAAAACATTCAAATTAATAAAAAAATTATATTAAATAAATTTAATGCCAGAAAATATAACAAGAAAGCTATTTCAGCATTATCCTGATATGAACTCAATTTATTATTTTAGGATAATAGACAAGAACCAAAATAAAACGGTTTTTAGAATGAAAAAAGAATTGTAGTTTTTTTTTAATACAAAATATTTTTACTTCCATTTTTAGATTGAAATAATAAAAAAATAACAAAATTTAGATGAAATAAAGTAATTAAGATTATTTAATAAACTATATTAAACATTTTCAATTATTCCTATAAAATTTCGGGCATATACAAACACTCATAAGCATGAATTATTTTCTTTGTTAGAGAAAATATTTTTCCAACCCAACTACTACACCGTTTTGTAGACTATTATTAAATTCAACATTAAAAATAAATATTACTTCCTCACACATACATACATATATATATATATATATATATATATATATATATATATATATATATATATATATATATATATATATTAGCCTAAGTTCTCTATATATATTAGCCTAAGTTATTTAATAAACATGTATGTGCACGAAAAAGATTTTAGGTATCAAATATGAAAGTTTTCTATATATAATCAATTTCTGTTTTTGGTAATTATGAAAACCTTTAAACCTTTTTGTCATAAAGGACAATTAAATGCCTCACCTTCCACCTACAAACATTATATTTTTATTTATGAATAATAAAATAAAGAGTAATTGAAGAAAGTATTTTAAAAAATTATTATACCAATAACACCAGAAAACGTAAATATATAAAGAAAGTATTAAAAAAAAAAAGTAAATATAAAACTCATTCAATATTTCAATACAAATTAACGGACGTAGGGAAAGTAAAATATATTTGACGATACAATCTTTAGTTTAATAAATGGTTAATTTAATACTATTAAAGTGGTACCTAATTTCACTATCTTCGCATGGACCTGATAGTAATTATATAGTTGCATTAATAAATATCTGTCATTCCCATTGGCCAAAACCACAGACAAAGATCACAAGACAAACAAAAACCTTGTTTTGTTGATTAATTTACAATGGCCATGCTTTTCTATGCAGCACTCTTCTGCATCACATACTTCTTCCACCGGAGACTGTGTTGCAGATACCAGCTCTTCACTGACTACCCCATCCTTGGCAAGCTACCACAGTTAATCTGCAATCTGTGGCGTGTCCATGATTTTTCAGTTGAGGTCCTCAAATTTCACGGGGGAACTTGTGAGTTCACTGGACCTTGGTTTACCAACATGAACTATTTGGTCACTAGTGACCCCCTCAACGTGCACCATGTCTTCAGCAAAAATTTCAACAACTACGTCAAGGGACCCGAGTTTCGTGAGATTTTTCAGGCTTTCGGAGATGGGATATTCACTTCTGATGCAGAAGCATGGAAATACAACAGGAACCTCTTCCATTCCCTCTTTAAAAACAGAAGCTTCGAGATGTTTCTAGAGAAAATCATTCGGAAGAAGGTGCAGAATAGCCTACTTCCCATGTTGGATTATCTACATCAACAAGGGAAGGTGGTGGATCTTCAAGATGTCTTCAATCGCTTCACTTTCGATAACATATGTTCTATCGTTCTTGGATATGACCCAAATTGCCTTTCCGTTGATTTTCCAGAAGTTGCAATTGAGAAGGCTTTTAACCAAGCGGAAGAGTCCATATTCTACCGACATACAATGCCAAAGCGTATCTGGAAGCTGCAGAAATGGCTTCAAATCGGTCACGAGAAGAAGATGGCTGAAGCATGCAAAACGTTTGATCAATTCATCCATGCACTTATAGCGTCTAGGTCGGAAGCACTAGGCAAGTACAATAACAATGAAACAGGAGGACCTTGTGCGGATTTGCTAACAACTTTGATGAGAGAAGGGAAGGAACAACATGATGCTGTATTTCTAAGGGATGCTGTGTTCAATCTTTTTGTGGCTGGGAGGGATACCATAACTTCAGCTCTCACGTGGTTCTTTTGGCTTGTTGCTACCAATCCTTTGGTGGAAGCCAAGATTCTTGAAGAGATGAATGACATGTTTGGATCAAATGAGAAGGCACTAGATGATTTAAGTGTGGAGGAAGTGAAAAAACTGGTTTATCTGCACGGTGCCATATGTGAAACACTGAGACTCTTTCCTCCTATACCTTTCGAACGCAAGCAAGCAGTTGAGGCTGACATGCTTCCTAGTGGTCATGGTGTTAATCCCAGAGCAATGTTAATATTTTCATTGTATGCAATGGGAAGATTTGAGGAAATATGGGGAGAAGATTGCATGGAGTTCAAGCCAGAGAGATGGATATCAAAGAAAGGAGGTAATGTTTATGTACCATCTTACAAATTCATTGCTTTTAATGCAGGACCCAGAACATGCTTAGGTAAAGACTTGTCCTTCATTCAAATGAAGATTGTAGCAACTTCTGTCCTGCGCAATTATCAAATCCAAGTGGTGGAAGGTTTTGTTGCAAGGCCAAGCCTTTCAGTTGTTCTTCTCATGAAGGATGGTTTGAAGGTTAAGATAACAAAAAGAGAAACTTAATTTCACGTCCTACGTTGGAATTTGGATGTCAACGTCCATATAATAAAACAACAACGAATAATTTGTACCTGAGAAAATGTTCGTTCACAGTAACTTTTGTAGTAAAACATTAGCTTGCTCGTTGTTCTATTCTGTACCAGATTATGTTTGTATGTGAAGGAAGATAAATTTTAAGTTTTAAATATAGAATAAGGAAATAATTCTATTTTGTTACAATTATAAAGTTAGTCCAGTGCAGTCTTTTCTGATTCATTCTTGTTTTTAATAATTTTTTTATTGGATTAAAATATTTAAATATTTATTATGATATTAAGGTTAGTATTTTATGTTTTATTTCTTTTATTGAAATTGAAATTATAATAATTTGGAGAATCTTAATCATCATAAGGAATAGATGATTTTAATGGACTGAGGTTAATTGTTGATTGAGATCATAAGGCTTTGTAGTTTAACGAGAAATTGAATCCCTCTTTTTCTATTATACATCAATTTCGTGAATATTTTTTTGTCCATTAGAATTTAGTGAAATATAAAAAAAAAATCCAAAACAATATGTTAACAAACATAAGATAATTAAGTCTCTATCTACGAATCATTCCTTTCATACAAGTATATTGAATTTGTTGTCACTAATGAAAGTGAACTTAGAAGACATTATATTAATTTGAAGTTATTATATTTAAGTTTTGGAATATATTAGACGAGGACTATTAGTTGTAGTTAATTTGAATGGGTATTATGTACTTTTTTTTTTTACTATAACAAATTTTTATTAGATTACTTAAAAGAAAATTTATACCATATAATTATTTTTTTAAATATGACCAAAATTATCATAAATTAAAAAATAAAAAGTAATTGGTGCTATAAACCTCCATTGAAAGTTTTTTGAAAAATATATATAGGTTCTAGCGATGTATTGAGAATCAATTAAAAAGAAAGAAAAAATTGGTGTTAGACAACTTTATCCTAAAAGATTCGAGCAATTAATGAGTTACAACATAATTTTATGGAGCAGGTGGCTTAATTAATCAAATCGTACCACTTTTTGACAACTTTAAACAACCTTCGTTATTAATATTATTAATTAATATGTACCAATTATTAATTATATATAATTTAATTAATTAAAAATGGATAAATAAATAACTGTCACTCTTTCTTATTTCAAATCGTTCCACCAACCAACAAAATTTACAAGAGAACAACGCAACAGACAAAATAAGATAAAGAATTAGACATCACAACAGCATCAACTTCTAAACTTTGACTTCATCATAAAACATTTTTAATTTTGTGTTTTTTTCATTTAAGAAGAAAACCTTAAGTGTTCCATAGAGGCACTGGATAAAAGCATTAAGTAAAGTTTCGTAATTAATTTATGTTGTTTTTTTTTTATATTAATGTTGTTAGGTATTTTTGAGAGGTTAATAAAAGATTCTCATATGTTATATAAGAAAATATAATACTAATTTTAATAAAAAAATAAAAAAATATTAAATTATAAGTCTTTCTTATTTGAAGTGAATTAATTTTTTAATTTTTAATTTAATATGAGTCTTTTAACTCACTCTTATAAATAGTAAATATTTGTTTTGATTTTTGAAAAATTAAATCAAATGTATTAAAAAACACCAATTTGTGTTGATAAAAAAAAAAATTCTCCAAACACTTAATATATATTTTTCACATTTTCATATGTATTTTTAGATAAACTTATATTCACTAAATTATATTTTTTTCTTTTTTGAATTCTCACATTATCTATCTAATGTCATGTTGTTACCATTGATTTTAATTTAAAACTTTTGTTAACTATTATAATCATAAAAGAAAGAAGACGCATGATGATAAATTTCTAAAAAGCACGTGTGCATGATAATAAATTTCTAAGAGATCTGCCTCTAACATTTTTTATAAGTTTCTAAGAGATGTTGCCTCTAACATTTTTTATGAAAAATTCTTGGTCAAAAGAAAGGTTTCAGCTTATTCTAAGATAATATTATAATATATCGATGAATATAATATTTTTAAATTATTTATATCAAAAAGACAAAATATAATCTTAATTTTTTTCTTAGATTCTTTTGACTTATATATAACACTGTATTGGAACCATGTCACCTGGACTTTTATTGGAGATGGATTCCAGTGAATGGGCTACGAAGATGAGTTTTTCCCCAAAGCCCACTCACTGGCCCAGTAAGTGGGCCCACTTTTCAACCCATATTTTTATCCTTTTTAAAAGTCTTATTTATTTAATGTTTGTTTAGTTGTCATGGATTAAAAATATTATTAGATAGTATTTTTAAACATATGGATTCTTAATACCATAACTAGGTCAAAGCTATAGTCCTCCTTCATTGCATGTGCTTAGAACGTGAAGTTAATAATGCAAATTAATTTGTAGATTCTTTACTAACAACAAATTATTTTGAAATATATTATTAATTATGTTCTTATTTTTTTTATAAATATCTATTAATTATATTTTTACATTTTTATAAATATTTATTATAAAGAAATATAAGTAGTTATTAAAAGGGTTTTATACGAAGAAATAATATTAAAATGACAACTATATTAATAAAAAAGACTAATAAATTTATTAAAAATGATAAAAATTAATCATATTTTCATGCTTTAAAAATGTCTATCGATATCTTACGAATATGTGAAATTTTTTATTATTTTTTATAAAAAACTAAGGACATTAAAAATAAAACTATATTGATAGAAATATATTTAAGCCTTAAAAATTTTAATTCTTGTAGGATATTTAAAATGAATAAATTAAAATTTTATAGTTTATAATTGTTGTGGACCACTTTCATAAATTGCACATGACGCCAATGTTATCTCTTATTGAAGTTGATGTGCCTGATTTTCTTCTTTTTATTTCGAAAGTGATGTATCATTTTCAATGACAGCTATTTTTTTCTTCTTTTTCTCAAGAATAATTTTTTTTATTTGCATAACTCACAAAATACAGAAATTCATTAATTATTTTGTCCAAGTTGACAAATATTTAAGAGAAAAACATAAATATCTAACCTGAAAAATATAAATTGTATTAAAAAACTTCACCAAAAAATATTCATATGAACTCATCTAATAAATTATTTAATTAACTTAATAATAACTAATGTTAAAAAAGAGTTTTTTGTAATAAAAATATAAAAACAAATATATATAATAATTTTTACATTAATTTCAAGCCTCCTTCATTATTTATCATGTTGAACGAACTCAAATTTAAAATAATATAAAAAAATAAATATTTATCGAGATCTTAATATTTTGAAAGCCAAATATCTAATTATTAATTATTAATGTATTTGTAAATACTTTTGGAGTTAAATACAATGGCAAAATATCAAACAAAACCAAAATCAAATGATTAATCATTAAGCTTTCAAAATTAACTCAATTAAAAAAAATAATAAGGAGAAATTAATATAGTTTTCAATCCAAATAAAAAAATATATATCTACATTTATCCACATTATACTTAATCCAACTATCAAATTTCCGATTATCAATTCAAAAATATATAAAAGTTGATCATGATTATCCATATCTATGCGATATATATTATTCATCTCAAATTTCGAGAATTGACATTACTAATTGGAAAATAACATCCATACTATAATCAATACGTAATTCACAAATATTTTTTAATTTTTTTCTTGATATAAATAAATTAAATCGTAAGGTTTAAATATAATATAAATTAATATGTTATTCTCTTTATAAGTGCACGATTCCTTTAAAAGCTTATCACCTACTTCATTCATGCGCCTGATTCATTGGATCATACACTCAAATCTCATTCAATCGATCGATTCAAGGCAACATCTGAATAATAAAGCATCCACGCGCGATTCAAACCAAGACACCGTTTGGATTCCTCATTATTATCATCATGTTCTTTGACTTTTATCCTACAAAAGTGGCTTTATCTCTTACATCGCCCTCACCATGATCATTAATTAAGACGAACAGAACAGATATTCATTAAACATCACAACTGTTTTGGCCAAGTTGAAATATCTAAGAGCAGTGTGTCTTCGAGAAAAGCAAATAAATATATATTGATGAAGAGAAAGACAAATACATAGCTAACTTTGAGTTTCTATATATAGGACAATATCACACTAATATGCATCCACACTTATAACCCTCTCAATCTGTGCATGCACAAACACTTTTTAATTTCGGATATGGCAATGTTTGTTCTCTATGCAGCCATATCAGCAACATTTCTCTGCTCCCTATACTTCTTCAGAAGCAGAAGATGTTGCATACACCCGATATTGAGGGATTATCCCATCCTTGGCATGTTACCACCAGTGATCTTCAACCTGTGGAGGATCCATGATTTTATCACTGAGATTCTGAAACTACGTGGTGGCACTGGGGAGTTCAAAGGGCCATGGTTCGCCAATATGAACTATTTGGTCACTTGTGACTCCCTTAACGTGCAACACATGTTGTGCAAGCGTTTCGACAACTACATCAAGGGACCAGAGTTTCGTGAGATTTTCGAACCCTTTGGAGATGGGGTTGTCACTGCTGATTCAGAAACGTGGAAGTACTTCAGAACCATTCTCCATTCTTTGATCAAACAAAAAAGGTTTGAATCGCTTGTCGACCAAACCGTTCAGAAGAAGGTGCATACAAGTTTGCTTCCGATTTTGGATCATGCGCAACAACAAAGAAGAGTAGTGGATCTTCAGGATATCTTCAATCGATTCACATTCGATAACATATGCTCCACAATTGTAGGACATGACCCTAAGTGTCTTTCCATTGACTTTCCAGAAGTTGCAATCGAAAAGGCTTTTAATGAATCTGAAGAGTCCATATTCTACAGACACGTAGTGCCAAAAACTGTTTGGAAGTTCCAAAAATGGCTCCAAATTGGTCAAGAGAAGAAGATGACAAAAGCATGCAGAACGTTTGATGAGTACATATATTCATGCATAGCGTCCAAGCGAGAAGAGTTAAGCAAGTGCACCAGAGAAGAAATGGATGAAGCTCCATTTGACTTGCTAACTGCTTTGATCATAGAAGAGAGAGGACGCGTGCACGATGATAAGTTTCTAAGAGATGCTGCGTTTAATTTCTTTGTAGCAGGGAGAGAAACCATGACTTCAGCTCTTACCTGGTTCTTTTGGCTTATTGCTCAACACCCTCTAGTGGAAGCCAAGATTCTTGCAGAGATCAAAGATACTTTGAAGGTAAATGAAAAGAAAAATTATTACATGGCCCATGATGTTGACCGAAACGACCATCATTGTCTTGATGAGGATCATGATCTCAACCATTCTCTAACCGAGAGTGTTTTGAGCATGGAGGAAGTGAAAAAGCTAGTTTATCTGCATGGTGCTTTGTGTGAAGTTCTGAGACTTTTTCCTCCTGTACCTATTGAACGCAAGCAAGCAATTGAAGCTGACACGCTTCCAAGTGGCCATAGAGTTAACGCCAATACAATGATAATGTTTTCCTTGTATGCAATGGGGAGGAGTGAAGAGATATGGGGAAAAGATTACTTGGAGTTCAAGCCTGAGAGATGGATATCCGAGAGAGGAGAAATTGCCTATGCACCAGCTTACAAATTCATTGCTTTTAATGCAGGACCAAGAATCTGTTTGGGAAAAGACTTGGCCTTTGTTCAAATGAAGATGGTGGTTGCTTCTATTTTGTGCAAGTACCGTTTCCAAGTTGTGGAAGATCATGTTGCCACTCCAGGCCATTCGATCATCCTTCTCATGAAGAATGGTTTGAAGGCTAAGATACTGAAAAGACAAGTTTGATTCAAGAATATCATTTGGGTTTGTCTAATTTATCCATAAAAATTGAGTTAAACAATCCATTCAAAATAATTGGTGCAATCAAGCATCAACTATCAAGTCCATGTCAACTGATAGTAAAAGTATGTTATGTCATGAAATTTTGTTCAACCATGTATGTTTAGCAAATCTAATCCAATAATTTTACAATTAAATGTATCTGTTGTGCAAGAGTTTTTTTATTTATTTATAAGATTCAACTAAATGTTAATTTTCTCCATAATTCAATCTCAATCTTATAAAATGGTTCCGTAAAGTGAAGCTTATGCTGTCGGCACACTACAACTCATGAATGTAACGGAAAAAGAAACATAACATTAGAAAATTAAAACAAGTTAAGAAAAAATTGCATAAACCCAAAGCAAAATCTTACATAATTACAAAAATTATAATATATTTAAGTTTTTATGTTCTTATCCAATATTATTTCAATAATAAAATCATTATTTTATTTCACTTAAAATAAATTTTATTAATTGAACATATATTCAATGTAAACTCGAAATTTTTTTTATTAAATATTATATTTTTATATATACATAAAACACAAAAATATATCTTACAAAATAATTTTTTTTAATACACACCATATTTAGGATTTATTTGATTAGTTAAGATACACCCATTTTTATTTTCCTCTTAGTTTCATCAAATATTTTCAAAAATTAAAAAATAAATAACAATAAATCGAGAGAGGAATGGGTAGGCATTGCCCACTTTAAGAACAAAACACCCATTTTCTCCCAACCACCAAACTATTTTTAGCAAACGATGTGGTGATTATGATTTATCTCTTCACAAAATATAATTCTAATTATTCACTTTTTCACATTTCAATTTTATTTATTTATTTATTTTTATTACATCACATATTATATTTATTATTATTTTATTATTTGTTTCTCTCTATATATATATCTTTTCAACTGAACATAATTTATAGATATACCTCTTCTATTTTTTTTCTGAACAAATATAAATTTAATAAATAATATTTATCTCTCTCATATTTCAATAGAGTATCCTTTTATTTATTTAAAGTAAGTAGAAATATTAAATTGATATTTAAATAAATAGAATCATTTAAATTAATTAATTTGGATAAATAGTTAGTTTTTTTGTTTTAAAATGTTAAATTTTTAAATTTGTTTCTAAAGAGAAGTTCTATAAAATATATGTTTAATTTTTTTCCATACAACATTAATTAACTTTTTTGTTTGTATTAATGATATTATTAATTATGAATATCATAAAATAAAAATGCATTAATAATACATAGAAAAAAAATTAAGAGTATATATAAGTATTATGAAGTGAAAGAAATAGATAAGGATTGATGAGATTTATGAATTGATGATAGTCCTAAATTTTGTAATGATTTATATTTAATGAGAGTGGACAATCATGACTTGGTTATTAGAATGAGTTATGAGAGGAGGTTGTGGGGGTGACCTAGTTATTTATAGCACATGGGGATGTCCAAAGCACAATGTCCTCTACATTTCTAGGTTTCCAATGTGACCTTATCTGTCAGTGAGACTTTAGTTTTTTTTTTATGGGCATCCATGACATGGTACGAGAGATTATGGGCCACTAAGAAAAACTCAAATTTAATGTTTATACATTGGAGGAAGGTTAGGGTTCATCTTAAGTTTTAGGTCTTTCATTAAATACCACTTTCCTCACCCTATATTAATATTTCTGTCGGTAGCATATATATAATATTGTAGAAAGAAATTACTATTAACAACTAAATTATTCATCTCTAGAATAATAAATTAGTTACCAATTTATTTTATTTTTAAATTAATCGTATTTAATATACTCGCCTCTCATATTCGTTATGTGTATTTTTAATTTATATTTTATTGTTTTTTATCACTCACATATTCTATATGAATTTTTATTTTAAGTTTAAAACATTTTAATCATAAACATAAATAATAACACAAAATAGCTAGCGGAAATATTTCCCCTGAACTTGGAAGAATCTGAGAACAACAACAACAGATAATGACTGAAATAATCATAGAGAATATCAATATTTTTACCAATATTTTTAACGTGAGAAAACCTCCTCAATATGAGAAATAAAAATTCACGGGCACAAGCTAGTCAAACAAACTCCACTAAGATAAAAGTATGAGTACAAGAAAGTCGAATCAAAACACACAAATAAGTGTATACAGAGCAACCAATATATCAAAACAACAATGCTCTCAAATATAAAGAAAAGAAACATTAAAACAATCCCAACGATCAAAATGAAGATCCTTATACCACGAACTTGCTGTCAAAATTCTAGCCTGATCCAATGGTGAACTAAACAGAAATCGTAATTTTATCGAGACGGTTTAGTAAATGAGTGAAACTATTTTCTTTTCTTTTTCTCTTCCAAAGGCTCTGAAATGTTTTCTCTATTCTGACCTAACAGATCCCTTTTCACTTAAGGTTAAGTGAGATAAAATAGGTTTGACTAATTTGGACCTTTTATGACACATAGTTAAGACTCAAACCCAACACATCTCTCCCCTTACAACTATGTGGAGGTGATCACCAATCCGGTGATCTCATAGTAAGTTTCAAACTTCTACCTTGACAATGTCTTAATCATCATATCAACACCATTGTCATCAACATATAACAATAGGATAATAAAGTCATCATCAGATAACTTTTTAACAAAGACACAATGATCAGAAGTAGTCCTTTTATAATCTTGATCACACACATATAAAAGACTCAAACTTCTTGTACCACTGTCTTGGAGTCTGCTTCAAACCATATAGACTCTTTCTCAGTTTAAACACATAATTTTCCTTGCCTTCAATGTAACACCCTACCTTATAAACCCTCTATCAAAAGAATTAATAATTTTTAGCGGGAATTTTTTATTTATAAAACCAACAATAATAATTTTTCTCTTATACATAATATTAAACCAATGCATTAATTGTAAAAATAAACTTTAACATGTAAATTTTCAATAACTCATTCCTGCATTTCATCATTTTAGAAAGTACTAAAAGTAAACATTCATAATTACATATAGATAAAATATTAGTACAATCCTTTAAAATATTGAGGGCAACATTGAAGATAACTTCCTACAAAGCAGTAAACTACACAAAAGAGTAATTACTACCCAGTACCATGTAGGTCTATGTACTACAAAAGACCGCCTAAAAAAAGTTTGGATATGTTTATCCCAATACATGTTGTCATCATTGTGACTCCTAGATAATGAATATGAGTGTCATATTCATCGGGTGTGAAATCTGTGTCATCTCCCCTCTCTTTAAACAATGACTGATTAGGTCCAAAAACGAGTACCGCAAATACAGATGAAATAAAGAAAACAGAGAGACAAGAGGGTGAACAATAGTTCATACATCATCTTAAAATCAAACATTATAAACATTCACAAGTCAATCAAATTCCAAATGATTGATGTTAATGATGCATGATCCTAATATGTTTTTTAAAATATTTATGCATGCGGGCCTGAATCATTTCTCAAATCAGTGCTGGGGTAGTCAGGAGTTGACACTACTGGACATGGAAAATCCACCCATGGGATTGTTGACACCCACGCTCAAATATAAACTCAATAACTCACTGACCATTGATATACAGTAAGAGCACAATCATGTAAAGGAGAGTTTGTACAGTGGGATCCCCGACAACAGGTAGCGAGCTAGGGTCTTTTGGGGCTTCCAACCACTACCCTTCCTATCCTCAAGTCCTCCCTCAGGGTCTCCCTATCGTATTCTCAAAGTCCATAGTCTCTGATTCCCCAGTTTGCACAAATCACCATTTTCAGATGAGTAATGTATGAGTTCCTAAGTGGTTTTTCTTAAAAAGTCACATATTTCCAAAAATTTTGACAGAGTTTCCACTGTGATACGGACTTCCCAAAAATTCCAAATACCTATTACAATCAGAAAACTTCCCAATACAGTTTTAAAAAAAAGTTCACAACTCATCATCCAATCTTTTCAGTTTAATTTCAATAAACTTTCCCATGAAAAACCACCATGCATATAAATGCTCACTCAAAGACAATTCATATCTTAATATAGTACCAAACATGTATTTACACCATCATTCACATAAGCAATTCATTATCACTTTCAAAACCAAGGATAAAATAAAATCAACATTATCAATCAAACATGTATTTACACCATCATACACATAAGCAATTTATTTTCACTTTCGAAACCAATCACTTAATGAAATCAAAATTATCAATCATAACAAATTTAGATAACTTCAACAAATAAGGTTAAACAAGTTTATGATGTAATCCTTACTATATAGCTCACCTCTTACCTGATACGCCCACACTTATTCCTTTCAAAGTTTGATGTTATTTTCTAGCAAAATCTATATACGTAATAAAATGCTAGTTAGAATTTTATTTTTCTATGGTTCTATCTCATGAGAATTTAAATTCACTTTGTGTTGTTAATCCATTTCTAATAATATTTTAAGCTCACATCTTACAATTAACTTAGAAAATTATCCTATTTTGTATACACTTAGAGTAGGAATAATCCTAATAGCAAACATGGACAAGGGTCAATATTTCATAATTTTCTAGAGTTATATAAGTTGTTTTGGCATTAGATTTGAGTTAAAATTTCAATAACTTAATTATCTACAATATTGATGAAGGAAATAAATTCAAATACCTTATAAAATAGATGCAGTTTTCAGTTTTTAGTGGTTGTTTCCAATTGGGTTCAACTATAATAACACTCTGAACATGCCTTGGTAATTTGACTATAACTCATGCTACACATAAGCTATTGACATGAAACCAATTTCTAAATTTTGAAAATATAATTTTCTACAACTTTTATGAAGAAATCAAGTCTTAATTTTCCATATATCAATCCCAATAATTCAAAAACGGAGACTGTTAAAACAGGGCAATCTTTTAACATCATAGCTAGAAC